CTCCACTCCAGCCTAATTTCCAGCCACTATTATAGATTATGGATATACGTTTTTTTATCACCGTCTGTTAATGTACCTGCATAATGTGTATGTGCCGCAAACTGTTCGATTTCGCAGCCATTTGTACCTTAGCATCTGTGTTAGTTAAAAGGCTGAAATGGCAGATCGTAAAGAGGTTCTATCGCCCCCCAATCTCCCCCAGAGACCAAATAACAGCTCGCCTTCAAATGTCACTTCAGGACACCAATTCACCGTGGTAACATTATCTCCTCTGAGAAGAGAGGAGTTTTGTGGAGGAAGAATCGTATTTCCTGGAGATAAAGAACATATGATTGGAGTCTTTAATTCTGGTTCAAATTTGAATGAACTTGGTGATAGCCGGAAAGCAGTTTCTGTTCCTGCCAAAGTGAAAGTGGTAGAGTGGATGAAAAATGTCCCGATAATTTTAGCCTATGAAGATAACATTTGTTTTCTGGAATGTTATCCTGGATGCACCGATGATGACACCTCTTCAAATAGTCTGCTTACTGACTTCACAGACGATGTTGTGGAGTTCCAAGCTCGAAAAATTACCCAGTATGTGCGGCAAATGTACATGGCTGAGCCAGAACCGGTTGCCTCATTGCTGTGTGTGCGAGAAGAAGTGCCTTATAGTCAGGAATCGTACGGTGATTGTGAGAATCTGAGTGTGTTCTATGGAATTACGTCACAAGCCGAATGCTAATTGATCTATATGGTAATATTTAATTCGGGGATTTCATAGCCATCAATATTGTTCAAGGAAGGATAATATGGAACAAGAGCATCCCTATTTTGCATGTAGGCACTATTGTAAAGTTTCCAATATGGTTCTCGAACTTTTCTTGCTGGATGGTATAAACCTGCCCAAAGGTAATTGGCAAAACTACCCACCCCCAACACACACCTTAAACCATCCATACTTTCTAACACACGACTAATGACATGTGGTGAGCTCTCGAGGATATTGGGTACAACAAGATTGAGAAGATGCATGAAAACATCATAGTACCCATCGTTGGTGCGACCAATACAGTTTAGAGCCATATGCTTGACGACTGATGCAGCCGTTTGTCGATGTACCTGATCCCTATCAGTCAAGGCATCTTCCAACAAAGGTGTGATAGCAAATAGATAGTCTTTTGTCATGTTACCATCGATGTATTCAAACAAAAAACTCAATGCTTTCAACACACCATTTTGAACATTATTATCTGGAGTTCTGTATTCGTTCATCAATGCTGGTAAAACAGTGAATGGGCCACAGGTTTCGGCCACTATCCCGATAGCAACCGCTGTACAAACCCTGAGCTGCCGCTCCTGAACTTTAAGGTTATTAAGGAGCATAACAATAATGTCTTGTGGACCAATTGTTTTCGAAATATGACCAAACGTTTCATTGGCGGCTACCCGTATTTTCTTCTTTTGACTTTTGAGCATATCCAAAAGCTCAAAACAGATACGCATCCACTCTTTGGCATTGATTGTTTCCGCATCCTTAGTTGCAATCAACCCAACAAGCTTGATACAAGCTTCTTGAACTTTCTCCTGCCTATTCCTCATGATTGGTGATAAAGTGGGCAAGAGCTGATTCAATGATGGATTGGACATTGAGTATATTGCTGCTTCTTCCATGCACAGGATGCACAGGTAAAGAGCATTAAGTATTGAACCCAACACATCGGGGTAAACCTCGCCTAGAGATTCATACAAAATCAAAATCAACTTCAAAATCAAATCTCCATCAGAACAGTCTTTAATGACTGGAGCAATGATCGTTATCAAATCAGATGCTTGCTCTCTTATTTCAGGAAGTTTGTTTTTCAACCTGAACAAAATTGTACTTGTAATGGAATTGATGTGAGGACGAAGTCGAGAACCCAAGGCTAGGGCAACGGCTCCAAATGATTCAAGATAAATTTTAGGCTGCACAGATTGTTCCTGAAAAGCGTAAAGGACACCATCGACTAGTTGTACTTCCAACTGGGAATCGATTCCAAGTAACTCTTCGGGGTCAGATGATATCATCTTACTGATAGCACCCATGCTCATGATTCGTAAATTTTCGTTTTCATCTTTGGTATAAATCACAATGTTCTCCAACATATCCAAGAAATCAAACTTGGTTGCCAACAGACAGGTAGCATCAATAACAAATCTTCCTAGTGTCTTTGAATCACTTGCTGTTTTTCTGTTCCAAAAAAATTTCAAGAATGGTTCGATTATTTCTGTGTTGTATTTTGGAATGAGCTGCCTTGACAAAGGAAGTGCGATCATGATCCGGAGAATCGACTTCCTCATATCCTCATCAGGAGAATTGAATTCTCGAACAATGATTCGCATAATCTCTTTTGTGTAGTAGTTTGAGTATTCTTCGTAATTGGGGTCGAATGTCATCAACGCAATGATCGAGGAGATACATCTCAAGAAACTTGCAAGGCCCTTTCCTCTATGCTTACGGAGACCCAGCCAAGCAGGTTCCAAGGCTGGTTCAAAGTACTCAATACCGTAGGGTTTCACGTTTTCGGCAAGTTGTGCTAATGTGAGGGCGGTGATGCTTCGAACGCTTAGATTCTCATCAGTTAATCCGGGAGTGATTGCGTTCACTAGTTGAGACAAATATGGGAGAATTGCAGCTCCATTTCCACCACCAAGTATGATACATAATTGTTGGACAATCTTCATTCCCGTGTGTCTTGCCATCCAGTTCTTTTTAGATTTTATCACGGCTCGTAAAAATGGAAGGAACTGAGCAAGACCAGATGTATAGGCTACTATTGCAAATACCCTGGATGCTAAATTTCGAACGTACTCGTCGACATGATCAAGATCCGGTCTCACAGTTGAAATCATATTTGCAAGTCCAACTGCTTTGGTTAATGTGACAAGGATTTCCCTAGCTTCCATCCTTGTGGTAAAATCTTCTTCGATCAATAGTGGTGATATCAGCACAACTATCTTGAATGTGAAAGGACGAACGGTTGAGCCCAATCTCTGCAATATTCTCCCTATAACTTTAACGAGAACATGCCTCTCATGGTCTTCTAAATTTGGTTCAACAATTATTGGCAAGATTTTGCTAAAAAGAATCTTGGGACCAAAGTAGGTTGCATTTTCAGAAATTTGTCTCATCGATTTCTTTCGTACCTGAGGATTACCATTTTTTATCTTAAGAATAAGCTTCATAGCCTGAGTATCTTTTCTCTCCTCTGCTGTAGCCTCTGTTCCAGCTTGAGTGAGCTTACCAAAATGCTTCATATCTTCCTCTTTAAAGTATTCGAGACCATCAGCCAACTCTTTGGGAGGTAGAGACTCAAGTGCCTGCTTGCGGTCCTGCTGGCCATCCGAGGGAGGAATATAGTACCCAGCATCCCCATTGATGTCCACGGCAATGCTCTTGTCCTGCTGGTAGTCTTTGGGTGGTTTAACAGCAACATAGCCTGAGGGAAGAATTAAATCGAGTACCTCATCAGTCAATGGAACACCACCAATAATGGGAACATTTGCAATTAGGGCCTTTTCTTGGTCAGATGGATGTTCGTCTTCACCTATTCTCTGCTCTTCCTCCTTCTTTCGTGCTTCGTATTGTTCTGGAGTCACATCCCATCGTATTTTTCGTTGGCGAGGTAGTATCATCTTTTGTGTAGAAGCAGATTGTTCATCTAGTATTCCTTGTACCCGTTTCTCTTCTCTTTCAAGGTCATTTACTTCCATGCGGTCTCTGTAAGTTTCTATACGGTCCATTTGCATGTCGATTTTACGATCAAATCGACGATTTTGATATCGGTCTTGCTTTAAAGTATCCTTGAGTTGTGGGGTATCCACAAAAGTTTTTTCATCTTCTTGTCTTAAATCGGCTTCCAAAGCCTGTGGTATGGTGTAATCTGCTGCCAACGTTCGCTTTGGCATGATTCTTTGGAGTTTAAAACGCTTATAAGTATGCTGTTAACTATCTTGTAACTAGTGATTGTCGTGCGCGCGAAATTGGCGATGGCTCCGATGAGATGAGACCAGCTACAAACATGAACCAGAATTCGCTAGTGATACTAAATCGCATACTTTCGCTCAAGGAGAACTCTCCCTTCTTGCTAATATTGGACTCGCTAGCACAATCAGCCCATTATCTTATACGGGAACTTGCAGCCAAGAACAATGAAATCACATATTTATCATTCGAAACGGTCAATAGGCCATCTTATGCCCTGAAATGGCTCGAATGTCACGGAAAATCCGTCGAGGAAATCATCAAGGAGACGAAATCTGACACAAAACAACAATTAGTGATTGTGGATTCCCTTAACTACTTTTCATCGCAACAGTTGACCCAGTTGGTGCTGGGCATCATCGCTCATCCGGGCACCACTTTGGCAGGTGTATATCATACCAACAGCAATTATAGCCACATAAATAGCCGTCAGTTCTCATACTACCCGTCGGAATTGACCATATTGTGCTATATTGCTAGCTCTATCTTGGAAGTGGAACCTATTCTCAAAGACCCTCACGATGAAGAGGTGTTGGATTCATATATCCAAAAACTACAACCTCCTATTGGTTTTGATTTGCATAGTCCCAAGTTTGCTGTGGCTCTACACTATCGTCGTAAGTCAGGTAGAACGCTAACGTATCAATATCTCATCGATGCAAATACTCATGTGTACGAAGTTCAGGAACAGAAAAAGACACTCAACCAAGAAGACGAAAGTTTACTCAAGGACCTTACTACGTTCAATTTAGCTACTAATGTAAAACAGAAAGCAGCTAGGGAACAAGTGGAGTTGCCATTCTTGCAGGCACAGGAAGCATTGGGCTCGGCTGGTGGAGCCATTGTCTACGAATTTGAGAAAGATGACGATTATGACGAAGAAGATCCATATGAGGATCCTTTCTGATGAAATAAACACTAGCATACACACTATTGTAGAATAATCGGTCGTCTACCTTACTAAAAAAATTGCACCCAACGAGTGGTGAAAAAAAGTAGCCCGACGCGGGGGTCGAACCCGCAGCCTTTTGATCGCTTCTCTTGTATAAGAGTCAAACGCTCTACCGATTGAGCTAGCCAGGCGGCTACTTGTAGGCAACCTTTCGGTAAGTTATTATATACATAAAGTCTTCATCACATTGAATGTACCATGTTGTACCATGTCATTAACTATGAAGGGTGTTATCTTCTGCGTTCATTTTTCTTCGCCAGCTGACGTACTCCTCATATTTCTCAAATATTTGTGGACCATGCTCATCGGATGAATCATCTACCTCATCGCAGCTACAAGTCCAAATACCAGATCTGTTCCAATAAGCTCTACCGTTTCTTTCATTGCACAATGCTAATTCTTCAAGAGTTGGAACAGGATATGCTGTGAATTTGCCGTTTCTCTCGGGAAAAATTTGTTTTGTAATTTTTCGAGGTAACCATCGAACCATCTCATGGTCAACGCTTATATAGTGATGTTCACCATCCAAATTACTTGCTTTTCTGGGGAAATGGTTGTAGAAGTGGGAGGATTTCAGTGATGCCGGACTATAACTTCCTAAAGTATATTGAACTATTGGTGAATCTTTTGATAAAAGTCGGTCAGCATGGTGGGATACGTACCAACCAAAGTCAAATACGCTACCTCTACACTGATGAAAATCGTCTTGTAGTAGCTTGAAAAGATGGTTGTCTTCAAACCAGATCAGATCCTCAAACATTTTTAAAGAAGTTGAAGCATAATTCCGAATCGGATGCGAAAACCTCACCAATGCGGCTCATCTATTTAGCTGCCTTGAATCTTTTTTGTAACACCTCCTTGAGCTTTGCTAGCTTCCCTTGGGCTGCAATAACCTCTAATTCCTCTTCTGTGATCACCTTTTTGGTCAACAAGTTGTAAACGGTTCCAAATGCCAATGACATTATTGTACAGGTAAGAATAATCACATTGTAGGGCATGGAAAAATCCGGTGTAGGAAGTGTTAACAAAAGACTAGAGGTTCTAATCTCGTACTCAACATCGTCGTTCTCATTCAAAACAGTGACCATTCCTGCTTCCACGGCAAACCCATGGTTCGCATCTGGAGGATATTCAGCGTATAACAAGAGAGATTTCTCAAACTCATAAGTTAATACAAGCGTCAGCTTAGGAGGTAACACTATACTGAGCTCAAGGTGAGAAGGACGCTTTCTGTCAATTGCTGGTCTGTAGAATCTCGTGTGAATGTACTGTTTCTCTTCCTCTGGGGAAAGTAATCTTGTACCAGTTTCATCTTGAAATGACACTTTTAGTGTATTCAAGTGCAATCTCATGAACCATGGGAGAAACTCAAAGTAGATGAATTTTCTGTCGCTGGTTGTAGGGTTCGAGAAATGAGTACGGAGACCACCGCGATCCTGAGAATACCCAGTCAAAGAACGTGCTACTTTGATCGGTGGAGAATCAGATGTCAATACCTTGGAGCTGTCTGGGGAACTGAACTTGACGTCGTAAGGTTGTGGTTCCTGAATATCAAAGGAGAGTCCATTGTCAATAGTTTCCGGCTCTACTTTTTGCTCCTGGTAATCAATCACTGAAACACTCCAATTTTCACGATCGACTTCAACGTTGATCTTGGTGGAGCCAGGCACCAGTTCAAAAGCAGCACCCAAAATGGGTCTACCAAAGATCTCTTCCAAGCTCCAAGCGACATCTGTTGGGTCACCAAGTGGAAAGCACTGCCAAACGTTGTATGTTTTGGACTCGTCGCAACGTAATTTTTCTCCTGGAGTGGGTTTTGGAATTCCACCTTCGTTCTTTCTGCGCAATGAGCGAAGCACGTCAATCACAGTATTCACCGACTGTGTCATCTGCAACTTGCAGTCGGTGCCCTCGCACACAGTATTCATGTCTATAGACATACTGTGCCACAAAGAATCAAATACTTTATGACCATCCAATAAAGTGGAGATTCCTGCTTTGCCTCGAGTAGGAAGTAATTTGAGAAAAGGTGTCAAGTTTTCAGTACAGATTGGTTCACTTGGGAGCACCGCCCTCAACAAGTAGAGATCATGGGATGGGTGCGTGACGTGGATGTTTTGGTTAGGCTTTTGACTGGCGTGGTAATTTGGGATGGTAGTGATGGACTCATCAATGAAGTTTAAAGAAGCACAAAATAACCCAGATAATGTGGAAGTCAATTTTTTCCAGTCCCGTTTAGCGGTCTTGTAAGAATCAGCTTCAATTACTGCCCAAACTTCCACCCCAGTACCACCGCTTCGGCGTCCGTTATAAGGAAGCTTACCCCATTCTTCATTATCCCACCATCCCTGGGTGAACCTAAGATGCAATTCGCGTGTGTTGGAGGTTTCTATGATAGGACCAAGTACGTGGGGGAAGTACATGTAGTGGCTAGCTGCCTTTGGCTGGGCTGGAGCCAGATCATTGTAGTATATCAAACGAGAAGGTTCGGATTCTACGTTGAATTCAAACAAGCCAAGTAGCTTATTTCGTTCGAGTGGTCTAAGCGTGAGCAGCTCATTATAGGGTATCGCCAACCCGGTGCCACATAGAAACAAGAACCATAGAACGTGAATCATGGGTAAATTATTCAAAGGAAACGTTTCGCGGTAGTTTTCGCAGCGCGGTGGGGGAGAGTGGAGGGCGCCAGAAAGAGACAAAGGAAACAAAGAAAAGACAGAAAGCGGAAAAGTAAAGAGCTGAACAAGTTAGCGAGCTGTTTTGATTTCTGTGGTTTTTATGTGTCCATATTTGGTTTTTTGAGAATACATTGGGAATAAAGTGGAATTGGTGATTTAGTATCTCAAGTTGCGAATCGTAATTTTTCAGCTCTATGCATAATTTAGAAATTTACCATTATTGAAAAATTAAGGAAAAGTATGAAATAACAAAGCCACCCAAAACGACCCAAAACACGAACCACACACATTCTCCCTCTATCTCCTCTCCTCCCCATCTTCTCAAACCTCACCTTTCCTTCCTTTGCACCCATCTCAAAACCGCGAATTCAAGCCGCGCAAATACACTGTTTACCAAACAAACACCTCATGGACCAACCCTCCACCCTTGACCTCATAGAGGAACACAAGGAAAACATCCAGATACTATCAACTGGCAGAAGTGCCCAGAAGCTAGCTGAAGGTTTGAAAGGGTCTCGAAATCCAAATTCCAAGACTGATCGTGCCCATGAGAGGAACCGTTTCGAAGCACAATTACATCAATGGGACCAACTAGATGATCCTCTTCTGGTGTTTGTATCGTATCTAGACTGGATCCACAACACATATCCTAGCGGAGCCAGCCATGAAAGTGGACTCTTGTCGCTTTTGGAACGATGTACTTCCAGTCTTCGTGATATCACTCACTATAAAAACGATCCTAGATACCTTCTCGTTTGGATGGAGTACATCAAATATCTGGATTCACCACGAGACATATATGTCTACTTGGCAAAAAAACAAATTGGTCAACAACTAGCATTATATTACGAGGAATTCGCTCGATATTTGGAGATCAACTCATGCATTGAGGATGCGGAAGATGTATACAAACACGGAATTGAAAGCCATGCCAGGCCATTAGCCCGCTTGAAAGCTTCATATGATCGGTTCCTTCAACGTAAGACCTCGAACCAAACAGTTGAAAGTAATCGTCCTCCATTGACTGGAATTCTGGCACCCATACTAGACATTGATGTCTCTGAGCCCCCTACTAAGCGGCCCAAACTAGAAATTTTCCGTGACGAACTTTCCGAAGAAGATGGTATATCTTCAATATTCCGCTCACAGGATTATAACGGTGAGCTAGGCTCGATTGCAGAAAGGACAAAAGAAAATAAACTCATGGCAAGGCCCTGGTCAGGAGAAATGCTCAAACAAAACACAGACCTCTCCTCTCTAGGTCCAAAGTTTAGCGTTTTTAAAGATGAAGATGAAGACGCTACGGTGGCACAAAAAGTGCAAACAGAAGAAGGAACGTACACATTGGTTAAGCATCGTGGAAAAAAGCCTGAACGATTACAGGTGGATTTATCACTTTTAGAGAAAGATGGCCGTGAAATCTGCTTGAGTGAGCTTCTTCTCATGCTGATAAGTAAGGAAAGCAATTCTTTAGAAAATGACCATTCAAAGAAAGAAACTCTGATGCAACAGGAGAATTTTCCTTTAGATAACAATGAAGAGAAAGACGTTCCGATATTTGAGCATACCGAACACTTTACTATTCCATTGAAAGGAATCAGTGAAAGTGAACAAAGTGTGAATGAACCAACAGTGACTCTATACTCTAAGCAAGCTGCCAATGAAGTGATGAGTATATTCAACGATGCGGCAAAGAATGTTATAGACGACGATGAAGACCACAAAACTGACGACACTAGTAATTTGGATGGGTTTGTGACTGAAACGCTCAACCTTGATATCAAGGCGACACCTCCTACGACCAACAACAGTGTACAAAGCTCACCATTCATCGAACAACCTTTACACCACGAGAGTGGCGAGAGCTCCACAACTGAACTCGAAGTTCTCGATCCAACCAACGAGAACACTCGAAGAAAAGCCCTACTTCAATTGAAGAAGCCGCTCAAGTCGTACCCCAACTATCATGAGTACACTAAACTGGTGAACAAACTTCCCGTGTTCAAAAAGATTACCACAAGCCCATCGAGGTACATACCCAAAGGAAACCGCCATTCAATTATAGATTTTTGTGGTGAAGAGATCTTTTGTCTTCGATGCGAATTGGGTGAGGGAGGCTTTGGCGTTGTGTATTTGGTGGAAACTGAGACCGGAAGCTTGAGGGCTCTCAAAGTAGAGACCCCATCTACACCGTGGGAGTACTATATTCTCAACCAAGTTCAGCAAAGAATTCAAGCTCGTAATCTTCAAGAGATGGTGGTTGCTCCGCGAGGCATGTACTGCTTTCAAGATGAGAGTTACATGGTGATGGACTACGTCAAACAGGGCACTCTTCTAGATGTTGTCAATTTCTTTCGCATACAAAGACCAAACCCAATGTCTAGTGGTGCAGATGAGACATTGTGCATTTACATAGCAGTGGAACTACTCAAGATTGTTGAGCAGTTGCATGC